AACACAGCACAGCACAGCACAACACAACACAACACAACACAACACAACACAACACAACACAACACAACACAACACAACACAACACAACACAACACAACACAACACAACACAACACAACACAACACAATTCGCTTTGCTAGCATATTTTGTTGATATAAATTCATATCTATTTCCAAACAAGCCATGGAAACAATGGAACACACTAAAATGTTGAATACCGTATCGATAGCCGCTTGTCATGTGACGGCAAGTGACATTTTCTTCTGTGTAAAAGCTACGTAGGTCGAAATCGTTCTAATGTTTATCAGACTTTATGTCAAAATTGGATCCGCAAATCTTCAATTTTTACAATTTCACTGAATTTTTGTAATGCCCTTTATGATTATACCGATAAGTTATACCCAAGCATGTATAACATGAAGAGACTTGGAGACGAAGACTATCCGCACGGGTTAGCATTCAATTACATATCACTGCGAACGATTCGTACTTGATTTCCCCTTCTTCGGTATAGCTTTCTGCGACCTCCTTATACCAGTTCGCATTAATCTCGCCTTCCATCTGAAGTTGTAAATTTACAACCAAATAGCTAGAACCTCATACCAAAGGAGTATAAATCGAAACACTGAGCTACTTCAGGGAAGAAATACGTGCTAGTGTTTCGATTGCGATGTTGTCGTACAATTCGATAATTGCCCGTTTCCCAGTGTTTTATACATGGCTTGAACTCATAACTACCTTGAAAACTAAATAAAGTCGACATAAAGAACATAAAGACGAAATAAAGTCGACATAAAGAACATAAAGACGAATGGTTGTAAGAGAATGTATGGCTGGCTGCGCGCGCTCGCCCCAGGCTAGTTGCACCCCTTCCAAGATGTCGCCGGTAACCTTGATTCGGTCTATTGAAAATTTGCAATATTAGATTTCGTGCTGTGGCCATTTTGAGGAGATGCGAACACAGCATTGTGTCATAACTATCGAAAATCCAACAAAGAGTAACTATTGCGGCTAGAAAATCGTTTTTAAGAAGTTATCCAGGCGCGTAGCGTGGTCTTTTTGGCTAGTATGCACATGTCAGGGACAGCATCACATATTTTGGATCTGGGGGTATAACGACCGCCAGGAAAGTTTGAAATAATAACTCTTGGAAATGCGATTTCTAGCGTTTTGCACTAATGATGAGGCAGATACTTTTTTGGTCGATAACTTAAATGGCGCCCCTGTTTCTAGGGTAATTATACCGCAGCACTTTTTGAGAAGACAAGGTTTTAGAAGACAAGGATTAACCCTAACACAAGGTTGTTAGTTATTACAGCATTACGAATGATCATAATAACGCTCAAAACGCCAGAAAAACTGAAACCCGTTTTGGGAACTTATCGTATGTCACAACTGTTTCTTTAGAAACACCGTCGCAGTTCATATTGTTTATCGCTCTTTTCCGTCGCTTTTTCATGAAAATGCAGTAACAATATCAGGATGTACTTACTTGTACTACACACAATACCGACATCTTGCATGTGGTCGCAGTCATGAGGACCCCATYCTCTGTGAGGRCACTTGTCTATTGAAGKCTCATCGCCGTTACATTTAACATCATCAAGCCAAATTGGACCAGKTCCTTGTCCTAAGTGCTTGGACATCACTGMAAACTGGTAACCAAGCTGTTTACATGCTATGTCTGTGTTAGCCCTGGACCATGTGTTATTGCATATTGTTCCCCACACACCATTGTAGTAAATCTGCAAAATACCCTGCACTGACGACTGCGAAGATGCCCTACCCAGTAACCTCAATGGCGCTGGTCCTAAAATGTGAATTATTAGTTGTTTCTTTTGTCACCATCACTTTTCAATGACAGTTATGAGGYAACGAGATYCACGCAATGTTTATGACAACTTTTTGGCTAGTATGCACATGTCAGGGRCMRCATCACATATTTTGGATCTGGGGGTATAACGACAGCAAGSAAATTCTGAAATATATAATAACTCTTGGAAATGCGATTTCTAGCGTTTTGAGGGATATCGAGGGCATATATAAAAGGAATCAAGTTTATTATAATTTTTCAGTATTTTTTTGTGAAAATTCCATGCCACTAGTACGCACTTGGGTATACACTCAAAAAACGTTATCGGAGAGGACGGGAAATGAAAGTTGTCGAATGAAAGTTCCGAACAGCAATGTGGGTTATGAATATTAATCGGGAACCATACTTGTCCTTATGGTTTCCATTTCAGTATCTGAATGACATCATTGTTAAAAACAAAACACTTCATTGTTATGCAAAGTTTTAGTTTTCACACAAATTTTCACGTGCACCGTACAACATTGACAATAAGTCAAAATTAATGAGTTAAATTTTTGGTTTTGCAGAGCACTAATGAAAAGTGTTCCCCGTTCTTCCCCGTTCTTCCCCGGCTTCTCAAACGACAAAGCATAMACTAAACTGGCTTCGTTTGTATTACTGAAGCGACGAGTCACGTTAAAATATCCAAAGTCAAAGCTACAGTGGTATTCAATTGGTAATTTTTTACTATGAACTCTTTAAATTAAGTATACAAACCAGAGTTCCTTTCGGTCGTGTAACTTTCATTCGACAACTTTCATTCTCCGTTCTCTCCGACAACGTTTTTTGAAATAAGTGCATGCATAAAGGACGCTACGCGCCTGTTATCGTCATAGTAAATACATATTTGTATGTCAAGTCCCGATGCATTTGGACTGGTTGTATAACGTGATGGATGTGACCGGTGAACGTCACAATTCTGTACATTCAGTTTGCGCAATATACAATACACTTTCTATTGATGTCCCTGAAGAGTTATGACTTCGTGCACCTAAAATAAATTTCTTATTCGGAATTAGCCAATTTGGATCCATATGATCGTCTGAGTACAGCGAGTATGATTGTGTTACGATAAAAAAAACTGTAATTGAGACGMAAAAAATATCTTAAACCACATAAAATTAGTTCTGACACGCCGTCAACAATAAAATGAAATTGTTTCTGGCACGAAAACGTAATCTGCATCGATTTGTTATAGGTTTGGTTGCTCTGACTACGTCTTAAAGAAAAAACATATACTCGACACTTTGTAAGGTATCTTGAGAGTGTTTTTTGAAGCTATTGCCATGCCGTGCTTATCAAACGAGTGGAATATTAAGTTTATCTCGATTTTTGTTCGAGTAAAAACTCAATCCAGAAAAATAATTCTATAGATCTGCGTTTCTTATGGTTGACTTTTTTCTCATATCTGGAAAGTTTAGGTTTTACTTACCTCTCTTACAAACGATACCGACATCGTTCCTGTGATCACAGTAATGAGTTCCCCATCCTCTGTGTTGGCACTGGCCCAGTGAAATTTCGTCGCCGTTACATTTAACATAGCTTAGCCAAATTGGATCAGGTCCTTGTCCTAAGTGCTTGGACATCACTGCAAACTGGTAGCCAAGCTGTTTACATGCTATGTCTGTGTTAGCCCTGGACCATCTGWTATTGCATATTGTTCCCCAGACACCATTGTGATAAATCTGCAAAATWCCYTKCACTGATGAAGGTGAMGATATSTTWTTYAATAATCTCAACGGTGCTTGTCCTAGATGAGAAACAATGCGTTTAAATGTCTATTTTCCAGAGTAGAATGGATTAATTGATATTGCAATGTAATTACGACGATGTAATATGTTTAAGGTATAGCTTAAAGTACAYATGAACCATTTTAGAAAATCATCTTAACAAAAGGCAAATATGATGCTAATCATTGTTTTGAAGAAGAAAAAGTTTTTGAATTTTATTTTCTGAGTTAAAGGCATTTGAAAATTGAAAATGCTAATGAAGTGACGTCAAGGGAGGCTTCATTAAATATACGAACTTTGAAGGAGTCGCTTAAAAATGTTTTCATGGCATTAAATTTATCGTAGACAATGGAGGGAATAATCATATTCCCAGTTGGCGTTCATGAAAACACATCATTAGCATTTTCATTTTTCAAATGCCTTTAACTCAGAAAATAAAATTAAAAACCTTTTTTTCTTCAAAAAAATGATTATCATCATATTTGCCTTTTTTAAAAATGATTTTCTAAAATGGTTCATATGTGCATTAAAACAGGAGAGAGAGTGTTCAAATTCGTTAAAATTCTTGGAAAAATTGTTTTTTGAGATCGATAAATGGGACAAACTGATAATGCGCGAATCACTTTACAAAGCACTATTGTCATCCCACATTGAATACGCATAAAGTAAAATAGAACCGCTGTTGTCTGTTTACTGCAATCGGTTGACATTCTGCTTTGGTCAATGATCAGGTATCAAATGATCTGAGATCTTTSCTAGGGTCATGGACCTTTATATCTGATAAAGTTCACCCTTATTAGCATTCTTTATATAAAGAATACTAATAAAGAGTGTTTTATCAGATATAAAGGTCAATGCATGTGATCAARTAGGCTCATTCTATTGGCCTAATAACTCATTAATTATCTATGAGTTTTTGAAGTTGTTATAAGAGCCATATGGTCTAGAAGACAAGGTTCTATTTCCAGGTAAAGGCATGATAAGCCTTATTATTGCAGTAATTATCATATTTTTTTTTTGCCGACGACGGACTACAGATACATCTAGTATCACAATTAAGAGTCCCTTACTTGCATTACACACGATACCAACGTCCTGTCTGTGAGTGCAGTTACATGCATGAGTACCCCATCCTCGGTGATAGCACTGATCTAGTAACGATTCATTGCCATTACATTTCACTCCATCCAAACAAATTGGATCAGGTCCTTGTCCTAGATGCTTGGACGTCACTGCATTATGGTAGCCAAGCTGTTTACAAGCTATGTTTGTAGCAGTCCAGGACCATCCGTCATCGCATATTGTACCCCATGAAACATTGTAATA